CGGAAAGAGCTTCGGAATCTGCACATCCTTATATCGCGGATCTTCATCACTGTGCGTTGATTCTGTAGTCTCTTTGAGTGTTTGAAACTCACGCGCTCGCGCAGCCCCTCATCTTTGGACTCTTTGCCAGGTCTTTTTGAATAGATCGACTCTAGCGGACGCGTAGATGTCTCGAGGCGACACTGCGTTACCCTACTAGTTCTGGTATTGACGCGAGCCTACGCCGTGTCAGACATCAAAGTGACCAGACCTGCAGCGCGTCTTACCTTGCCCAGGAGACGTGGATGGTACGACACAACCATTTCCGGGTCCCAGCTACCTCTACCGCCATCTGGTGACTCTGTCTCAAGACTTATCTCCCTCTGCAGTTGTCACACCTTAGCTCAAGATTCATAATCGACCTGTCATGCCTTCCTTTCAAAATCTGTATCTTGACTGACACGCCGACTTCATCATAACATTATGTACATTGACTCGTGCACAATATGACACCATGCAATATCATTTGTACGACATCGAGCTGCAACTTCGAATCGTTCACTAGCAGGCTACTAGTATTTCAAGCCAGAAGGCTTTGCGACGTACTGTACCGACCTTGTAGGCTTGTCTCTGAGCGCTGAGCGCTGAGCGATTGGTGCAAAGCGGCGAGTCCCGCCACGACCGGGCCGGGCCGCCGCGCGTGCCAGGATGCGCCACTTGCCTTGCTCTTGACCATCACCAGCCAGCCATTTTGCTTATCAATGGCTATGCCCTTTGTTCTGAGTACCTCATACAATCCGGCCGTGACTACAAGCTACCCGCACACCTCTATCCACTTCTGCGGCATCACTGGTCCCTTCGCGCCTTTGTGAGCTTTTGCCGCGCTCTTGAACATCATCTACGATGCGGCACTGTTTCGTTGCCAGGACGTTGATGGCTATCCAGGGCGCCGCATCTTGTGAGGATTGGAGGCTATGGCATGCGTCATGGTATATTCTGCCCAGGCGAGATGCACGCAGAATCATCACAAATGCACAAACCTCGTATCGCGTCATTGCCCAGCCATGCAAGGCATGGCCTCATATGCGGTGCATATCGCACCGCCAATCCTTATCTCTTTACGCTTCGGTGCCCCAACTTTTGTCTGTGGCGGACATTGTAAGAGAGTGTACACCTTCTCGAAGAATTGCCGCACTGCATACGCGCTACGACATCGCGGTTCGCAGCACACCATCGGCCGTTTAGCTTATACTTACCTCACACTTGCGTTTCAGATTGTATAGCCTGCTCTCTGATTCTCGTGCTAGGTGGGAATAATGGTGCTCGCCACTCATTCTCGTACACCACTTGTAAACTCGCAAGAAGCAACTTTCTCTGGTCTCATCGTGCATCAGTTCTATGAGACCGTAGAGTCAATCAAGTGGCGGTGGGTTTTGGTTCTGTCAGAAGGTCAAGTTCCGGTTTCATCCCGTTCTGACTTATGGTTATAAAGGCGGCGCGCTTTGGCATGGGGTCACCCATCTTCAGACCCAGTAAGTCATGCTGATTTATCCGCTCATGATGTATCTGACGACGTCGACATTGTTCCAGCGAACCGTCATGGCGCTTTCCTTGAGAAAGCGTGTTCTCGGATTGACCTCCCGCCAACGAGAACCGCGAAGCTCCCAGTTGACGTCGCGGCGGCAACATGACCTCGATCTCACCGTATCTCAAAATTCCGGTCCAGTTCGGCGCTTCGTAAGGAGGACGACACGACGTTTGAAGCCCAGCGCTGGGTCTCGGGTTGTTGCCCGAGAACTCGTCATGCTCAGCCTGCAATCGCTGAAGGAATCCTCGACTGCGTTCCCGCCGTTACAGAGCGTCCTAGGTGGTTTGCTCCAGCTCTTGAATACATACGACGTATGTCGCCTCAGATTATACACCCCAGGTGCTTGTTCTCACCGACACAGACCATGATGCAGAACGCCGGTGATCGCCAGAGACTCTACGATCGCATCGATGCCATTCAGGATAGCCTTATCATTGCTTGGGGGAATGATGACTCGCGTCTCCGTCCTTTTACCAATACGCAACTGAGGGCTCTGGAAGCATTCGGCATGTAAGTGCTATACCCGTGTGTGTTCTCGTCGAATACGCGTTTCTGATCACATGTCAGGTCCATCCAGCGTATACTTCACGAGGCGAACTCCCTGTCTGCAAGCGGCAGCAGCCCATTGCGGCAGTTTGTGCTGGCCCGTCGACACAAGGGGCAGATCTCGGGACTTCTTTCGAGTCTGACGCAGGCTGATGACGACTTCCGCGTACGAGCATCCTTCTTCTATGGCCATTGGGCGGAAGCGCTGATCGTTTGTCACAGAGATGCATACAGTTAGACAATAGCCATCGCATCGTCGATGTACAACTCACAGCCTACGAGCATCACGCCGCCACGCAGACAGGATTGCGCACACTGCAAATCATGATGGCACTGGTACGTTGGTCATCACACAAACCCCATAAGACCATAACTGACCCTGCCGCTCAGTCGACCATTTTATTTGCATGAGGCCCGGGCGTGGGTATTAAGTAAGTAACGCCTCGAGCGCCGTATAGCCTGATCGTGCTTCGCATCATCTGGCGCTCACCGGACCCATCCAATGCACAGTCGACTCAGCTTTGCGCTTCATTTCATGAAGTCACTGTCATGCCCCGGGCCTCTGACTTAGTAGCATGTTTGGGCGAGCCGGTGATTCTGACCAGGAAGAGGCTCGCCATTATCAGAGGCCCCCGCCCGGGGTGGCAAGGTACGTTTCTCATCGACCGCACGCCTGGTAAGAAAAGTACAAAGACGTTCATATACCCGATGACATCGGTTGCACCATATAACGGGTCTACCGTTCACTGTGATACTGACATGCAGGAGCACGTCTTGTTCTACACGCGCCGATCGCGAACATTCCATGCCCTCCGCTACGACGTGCGATGTTTTCCCCGACTCATACGTCTTGCCAAAATGAGAAAGGGGGGAGGGGGGGGGGCAGCGAGAATGTGAGGGAGAGGAAGAGGGGAAGTAACTGTTTTATTCGTACACGCAGTTGTGACGATTCCGATCGAAGATGCATTTTACACGCAAACATAAAGCTTGCGCCAGCTTACGCCTTGTTAGCGCTTATTTTGATAGCCTGAACTGTATCGACAAGGGAGTGCGTGGCTTCAAGGTGCAGGTTGATCGCTGTGTGCATTGTCTAGATAGCTGAGTCACTGTTATACTAGCTCGTATATTCAGCGAGACAACATAAAGCTATGACGCTGGAATGTGTATCAACCACGAATACCACGGAAATATTGGCCCAGCGGGATGCGGGAATGCGAGTTTAGAAAGATGGTCAAAACCGCCACTATGCTGACCAGCTTCGTATACGTGGAAGTAGTCGACGAGCTTGCGGGCGGAGAAGCCCTCCTGGTGATATGTGTTAGACAACGCTATCGGAGTGCAAGCGTGGCACGAACGCACATATGCAAGAACAGTGTGTTCCCCGCCGCTCAGCATCACCTCATTGAGTGCGAGTCCGGAGTGAAGGGCCATGTCGAGTCCATGTGCATTCAGCGAGTAAGATCGGTCGGTGGCCGGTGGGATAGCAAGCGTGATGTTGAACCACACCCTCGCTTCGGGAATATACAAAGGCTCCGTGGTATCTTTATCCACATATTGCCCTTGGTGCAACCAGAACATATCGGCCTTCTGCAGCTCGTAGATGTTTCTGGACCTGGTGCCGTCAGCGAAGGTTATGACACCTTCATAACGGTCCTTGGGATCATCTGCGTGCATGGTACACGCGGAGAAGGCATCCATCTCTATAGGCTCGTCGTAGAAGGCGTCAATGCTGACTGTTGTGTACTCGTCAGGGCTAGGGACAACATGCAAGTCCACAGTCGATAACTGGTCGAAGTTTTCGATGTGCATCATGTAGGTATGTACGTCCCGGCGGAGTGTAAAGCTGCTTGTCGCCCGGAGACGTCGATCGCCAAGAGGTGTAACGAAGGGAGATGACTGTTGTACAGTGTTGGGCACCCATTCTTCGAGACAGGTTTTGTGCGTTGGTCGGAGGTAATGGGTATCGAACATTGTCGGGCGACGAAGGAAAGACACCTCGGCATTCGCCAAGACGTCTTCATAGAGCACCTGTGTCTCCGAGTGAAGCCTCTGGTCGTTCGTTGTCGACAATGGATGCTCTGGACGTGAGGAGAGGTACCGTTCGCAGCGGTAAGCTAGTAAGAGCATGGTGCAGATGAGGACAATGCAGGTCATTATACGTCGCCAGCGAGATGGCTGGTGGCATTCTGTGACGTCGGGGAGGTCACTGCGAGTGGGCGGAGGACGGTCATCCCTCAGGTTGCTGCCCTTCTGGTCGACAGGACACGTATTGGTAGGCGACTGGGCCATGGTGGTGGAACATCACAAGCTAGATGACGGTATGTCCAGCCTTTATACGGGTCAAGGTGTACGAATCACTCGTCAAGTGCTCACAATCAAGGAGAAGCAGGACAACATCTTGCACAGCCTATGCTTGATTGAAGAAGACAGCCACCTGTAGAGCATTGCTGTTGGCGATGATGCCACGTCAGCACCCGGATACAGAAGTTGGCGATTCGTCCGAGAATGATATGAGAGTGCCAATATCAGGTGGCCGCGAAGGACTGGCGGTACGCTGAGCCAGGTTACAGCAACCATCTCAGCGGCTCATCGTTCCACAATTGGGCGCCCAGTACAAGCTCCATAGCCTCGTTCAACCAGACGTGGCATCCACCTTTTGGCCCAGGCTCCTCAAGGGTCGGTGCGAATACCGTTGGTGGCGCTAGATTGCGCAAGAAATTGTCATAAAGTAGAGTTCATCAGATAGTTTCTAGCGGGTGCAGGCGTCGAGGCGAGCCTACGAGGAGTACACCGCGCTATATAAGAACGACGTCTGGACATCATGAGAGTGGACAAAGTGTGAACCGCGCGACAACGAGAGCTGCAGGGTGAAAAACGGCAAAATAAATGCCACCTACCAGGATTGAACTAGTGACCTTCCCATTACAAGTGGGACGCGCTACCACTACGCCAAGGCGGCTTAACAGTAAGTCATAATAGAAATTTATATCGACAAACATCCTGTTGCATGTCGGTTCCATGTGCCCAGAGCTTGCTCTTCCGCCTCCGACAGTCATGCGGGGATAACAAACCTCGTTTGCAGGATATGCGTTCACCCGTTGCTTCTTGTATATCAACCTGATGCCTAAGACCACTTACTGTGAGCCGAATGCAGGCATACTATGACGCCCCTGCTCGGGCGGCTGTCAGTGAAAGCGGAGTCAACGCGCCGTGGAAGAACACCCTGACACGCATTGCAGCTTCCACTCTTTCCCAACGACGACGGCGATGTTCGCCCTGATCGCATTGCAGTTTGTGCTGCTCAGTGCAATATACAAGGGCACGATCGTTTTGGCCAGCGTCCAACATGCATTCTCTGCTGCAGGGTCTAGCGATGTCGAGAGAGTCTTGTCTCCTGACGTCGTAAGGAGCATACAGTTAACTGTCGACGCACATGAGGTCCCAGGACTCTCTATCTCCATCGTGAAGACCGGCGGTTTTGTCGAATATGGGAACTGGGGCATACGGAGCGAAGCGGGTGACGCAGTAACCAGCGACGTGGGTTCACCTAGCATCTCGCCTCGTACTCAGAACTCATTTGTCGAACAGACACTGTTTATACTGGCGTCATGCTCGAAAGCGTTTACCTCTGCCGCTATGGGCCTACTCATCGAGGATTACGCAGCTGGAAAGAACGTGACCCCTCTGCCTGAAGGACTCGGTCGCTTGGACTGGGACACGAAGCTGAAAGATATTCTACCTGGGTACTGGGAACTCATGGACGAATCGGCAAGCAAGATGACTTCTATCAAGGATATCTTGTCGCACCAGACAGGCGTGCCCAGGTCCGAAAAATGCTGCGCTTCTTCGTGAATGTCCATCTGAATAGTAGATCAGGCATGACTTGTCATACGCGAGGGAAGATACTGCGAAGGATATGGTATCCAGGCTCAAGTACATGCGTCCTGCCTTCGAGATCAGAGAGCGCTGGCATTACAACAACATCGTACGTCTTGACCGTCCTGGTGTAACCTATCTACGGCTGATAAGGTAGCCTCAAGATGTACATGACAGCACAGCACATTCTCACGACTTACACGGGTTCATTCACGGATTTTGTTCGCGACCGCATATTTCTGCCCCTCAACATGACTTCCACGACCTACCTACCCTCTGAAGCCAATGAAAGCGGCAAGGCGACGCAGGTTTGGGCGGAAAACGGGCGTCTGATCCCTTGGGTCTTGCAGGACAGTACTGCAGAGCTAATCTCCGGGGCTGGTGGAGTCATATCCTCCACACAAGATATGGTACGCGCATCAACTTGGTTCTGAGCATAACTCCATATCTGATGCTTGTTCACCAGACGCGCTGGGTGCAGATGCTACTCAATGGTGGAGTGGATCCCGTAACCAATCAGAGAATTCTTGCCTCAGAGACTATCGAGGCTGTGAGCTTGGCTAGGAGCGTCATGGTGGGCACTGGCAGCAGCGAGATGTCGATCATGGGCTATGGTATGGGTTGGATGAGGAGTTCTTTCCAAGGAAAAGAGGTACAGTTTCCATTCGCTTTCAAGAATACCTGCTAGAAAGCGTCTCGTCCTAACAATGATGCCTAGATAATACAACATGGAGGAAGCCTGGCTGGTATTTCCACACTGGTGGCCCTGTCCCCACACGATGGTACGGGCATAGTAGCGCTTTGTAACGGAGACAACAAGGCAGGGGCGTTGAACGAAGCAGCGGTTACGATCCTGCACAAAGTTTGGGGAGTGCAGGCAGACGATGTATTGCCCACGCTGTTCGTGGACATGGCCATGCATGGAAGGCAAGGCAGAGCAGCGCCGATGCGCACGGATGCACTCGAAGAGCTTCCACCTTACGACTTCACTGGCCTCTATCTGAACGAGGGATATGGTGCCTTCCTACTTTGCGACTCAAAGGGCGCGTCTGCACAATGTGCTAATGTACTCGAGGACTTCGCTACCGTAGACGGATCGACACCGCGAGCAGCAGAGCTGTATGCAGCCTGGCCGCGCCTTTCGACATCACACCTGCGCTTCGCCTACGCCGGCGGCACGCGCTTCGCTGCGCAAGCGGTGCAACTGTTTCCGCAAGGCTTCGGGAAGAACACAACGCCGTTCGAGATATCGTCTCAGACAGTGTACGCAGACTTCGTCGTGCGCGATGACGGCGAAGTGCTTGGATTCGGGCTTTTCGGGCTGGTTGGAGAGACGACGGACAGGGAGAAGAAGGGTGGCAGTATCGAGGAGACTGCGGAAGTATGGTTCGATAGGGCGACGTGGAAACGTGTGCAGGACACCGGCTTTGGAGTGTAGCCAATGAGCATGCGCCTGACTTTGACCTCCCGTGCACATACAGATCGGGATGAATCTGGGACTGAGATGCCGTGGATGCATATTACATTTCCTGGAAGACTGGCACATCACATCGCTCATAATACATCATGATTTCGCTAATCGACACGCTGTTCGAAGCCCTTCAAGCTGTCCTCCGCATCGTCCGCTGGTACCAGCCGACCATCCACGATCCTGACGGAGAACGCACCTGCCCGCCGTCTGGCCTCCGGACTGTGCATACTGAAATGCGACAGACGTGAAGCGACGGCCGAGTTGTCCAGTGTCATGAGACACAGAAGCCCGGCATCGTCTAAGGGTGCGTCTCCTGCGCGAACGTTCCCGAAGATTAGCATATATATGCCAACGACAGTGAGGGCGGCAGCCAAAGCTGTTCCGGAAATCAACGCCGGAATATTGAACTGATATAATGCAAGCTCAGCTCGGTGAATCGATCAACGAGGGAAATATTGCAGACTGTTAAACGGCCCACGAGTACCTGCTCGGTCACTGGAGCCGAACCGCTTGCGGGCTCCAGACGTGTAGAGTAACCCATCCCTCCATTTTGATCATAAGAGACCCCTCCGCGTTCGTCCAAACTCGTCTCTTCGCGTTCCGGGGGCAACACGTCTGTGCTTGTAGTGAGTGTGCCAGCTCTTGCAGCGGACCACATCGTCATCGCAGTGGCATTGGCGAGCGCTGACTCTAGAGCACTCAGTGATGCCCTTGCCGCGGAGGTATTACGCAGAACATCGCTATCGAACGGAGACCGGTCATCGTAGTATCGTATACTCGAAGGACCGAAAAGCTGCGTTGTGACTGCGATCCACATGTCAGCGCCACTGAAAAGAACGCGTAGAGGGGAACGTACGATACTCCTCGACGAGTGTAGGTACATGGCAAGTTTGATACATTTTCTGTAAGACCTTGATGTTCCAGTGATCCATGCCTTGATCCTCGCCAGAATCGGGTACGACAGTGTCATTGCCTGAGGTGGGGACGTAGTTCACGCAGGACCATTGTGCGGAGTCAAGCGGAACCGGCTGGTTCTCCCACAGGGAAACCGAACCTCCAGGCAGAAACATAGAGGCCCATGTATCGTCTAAACTAGAATTTTCCTGTGTTAGTCTCCACTTCGAACTCTGAAAGGCACCGGTAACGGACTTGTTTGATTGTGTCAGATCGGGGTTCCAGCCCTCCCACGTACTGTTGAGAAGCGCGCCTTCGAAGGTAATCGGAGGGTCGAGTAGTTGATTTGTGGTGGCGTCAATCGTGGCCTCGCCTACGCTTGTAGACAGAGAGCAACCGATCACTTGGATCATCAACCCAGTCGGGTACGGATCCCACTGGGCTGCACCCTCTTCGTAATCGTCTAGGAGTTGCACGGTGAGCGGCCAAGGCGTTCCCGGGGATCCACGGGAGTCAACTATAGGTCGACTACCGGCAACGAAGCCCGTCTCGTTGTAAATGTTGTACAAGACGAGGTTTCGTCCGATGCCAGGTACGAGAGGGCTGCTGGGAATGCGCATCAAAATGTCTGCAATTGACCATATCATGAGCGCGACGCAGCGCGTTGGACAGGAGGGACCGACCTGCGGGCTGCCATAACCGGCCAACTGCATACGACAGGTTAAACCTGGATATGGACAAGCTGTCGTTCAGAAGCATGTTGTGAGTGCCAAGCGTGTAGTTTATCGACAGTAGTGAGGGGATCCGGACGTCTATACCACCTCTTGCGCTGCCCCCGACACCGACAACGACTCTCTCGATATTCGCGGTGGCTTGAAGGGACACGTGTGATACGCCTCCGCAATGTACATTGAAGTCCGTATATCCCACCTTCGCGGTCGAGTTCGACGACGCCGGCATGGGGGGTGAAAGTGTGTCATAGATGCGATTGGCGCTGAGACCAGGATATGTTGTTGCATTACTGCCTGCAATCATGCCGACGCCCACGCTCGAACGGTACCAGTCGAAGGTGATATTAGAGAAATTGGACGGCATGTCGGAAATGCTGGGCGGAATGAGTGCGCGCACGGAAGGTGAGCCGATGCGAGTCGTCATGTTGATAGAAAGTGTCTCGTTAACTGCAGGGACGTCGAAGAGAAAGGAAGAGCTGATTCCGAGACCAGACAGCGTAGAGAAGTATATCGTCACCACGATGGCGCCATTCAGTGTTGCCGGGTAACTAAGATTATGGTAGAGATTAAGCAGCGAAGAGCCAAGACCGCCCCATGAGGCTATCTTATCGGACATCACTGTCAAAGGTTGTGGGAGGTCGACAAGGGCGGAGCGAGTAGCCATCGGTTGCATGACAGCGATGATGGCCGTTGAAAAGGCAAGCATAATAACCTGTGGATGTGTCAGGTTTACCCCCTGTGGCAAACAATGCGTGTGGCGCGAACGTGACTGATCAGGTTGATCCAGGTTTGGATGCGCGAAGCGTTCGCCAACTCCACTCGTATGTTCTTTTCCGCGCCGGTGGTCCAAACGACGCAGAGAGCGACGTACATCGCAAGGACCCCGACATGCAGCAGCATCGGCACGGTAAGGAAACCCTTGAGATTCAAGCGCGGTCTCGGTGTGTTCTCTGTTGGAAAGTTGGCGACACCTGTGCGAAAAGTATA